GGTAGATATAAAAAAAGAGGCGATGATATCACACCTACAATGAATAAATTTACTTTTTATGATATGTTATTATTTAATATATCTAATAATAAAAACTTTAAAAATTTTTTAAATTTAAAGTATTTCTTTATATCTTAAAATTAAATAAATATTTTATTTTCTTTAAATATCTTAACATCTAGTAATTTGTTTAGAATAAAATATATATTATTGTAATACTTTAATTTAATAAATACATTAGTACTATTTTTATAAAATTTTGATAAGTAAATTATATTTACATTTGAGATTTTAGTTTATTATTTATTTAAAATTAGTAACGTAATATGATAAATTAAACTTTAAATTCTTTTTTCTTTATTTTTTCATTGGTATTTTATTTTTTTTAGATATTTTATATTTATAATATTATATTTCTTTATTTCTTAAATATTCAAAATTATTTACTACTTATTAATATAACTATAAGTAATTAAGTATTAATATTTTTCTTAATGCTTTAAATTCTTTTTATTTTTATTATCTAATTATTCATTTTAATTCTAAAAAATTTAATTGCATAAATTTTGCATTACTAATTTAATTAAATAAGTTAAAAGAATATTAGTATAATTTAATATAAATTAAATAATATTTATTAAATATTTTAATAATTATAAAATCAAAATTCTTTGAAATTTATTTAAATTATTATTTGAAGATTTATTATTATTTAGTATATTATAATATTAGTTTTTAAATATTAAATATTAATTTTTAAATTTTTTTTTTAAAAAAATAAATAAATATATATACTGTATATAATTTCTTTATATCTTTATTTATATAAATATTATATATTTTAATTTTTTTATTATTTCTTAATTAATTTAATATTATAATTTCTATATATACTTTAATGTGAATTAATAAATTATTAATTAAATTATATTTTAACAAAAGTAATTATTTTAATTATTTTAATTAATAAATGTTAAATTGACATAATTAATTTTGATATTATTAAAATTAATTAGAGTTAAAATATATTTTTATAGCTTATAATTCTTAAATTATAATTTTTCAACCTCTTATAATTAAAATCTTATATAATTTACAAGATTAAATTTTATTAATTAGCATATTTATATTTAAATTCTTTAAACATACTTTATTAATATAAGATTTCTTAAACCAAATTCCAATTTTTACTATTAATAAAAATAAAAAGTTAATCAAAAATTGTTTAAATTAAATAAAATAAAAATTATATATTTCTTTTTTATATTTTTATAAATAAAATTGTATGTATAATAATTTTTATAATTATTATTTATATTTATTTGATTATATTTTAGCTTTTTTATAATTATTTAATCCTTGATAAAGATATACTTAAGATTACTAAACAAACTAAAGATTTAGTAAATCATCTAAATAATAAAAAGTAAAATTTAACAAAAATATTTTAAAATCTTATTAAAAATCTGCAAAAGTTAAAATTATATCAAAGTTTATAAAAATATATCAAAACTTTAGTAAAATGAATAAAAGTAAAGGTTTATACATTTTGTCAAATCTAAAATAGATTTATATAAATAATCTTAAATATATATTAAAATTATAACTTTTTATTTTTTAAATTATCTTAATTAATGAATTTTTATTGCATTATGAAGAATATAATCTTTTAGATATTAATCTATCTATAAATTTTAAGTTAAATTTTGCAAAATTTTAATCATCAATACTTTTATTAATTAATATGTTAAATTAATGATAAGATATTTTTACTCTTTTAGATTTTAAAAAAAATAATGATATATATAAATCTTATATATTGAACAAAAAGCATTAAAACACCTACAAATTTAACTAAAGTGTTTGGTTTGGATGCAGTAAATATGAATTTAAATTTAAATCGCAGTACCAAATATGATTAAAAAATACACTTATTTTACTTGTAATAAATTATATACAATTGCAGTGAAATTATAATAGATGAAAAAAAAGACAGAAGAAAAGAATTAAAATTAAAATTAAAATTTTTAGAGGTTTGAATGTGTCGATTTAGCATATCAATTAGCTGATTTTCTACGAATTGGACAAGATCCGAATACAAATTTTCATCATCCGTCAGGATAATGTTGTATTCGGATATTTTCGCCCTTTTCTTTGCAGGATATGAAAAAAATGTCGTAGATGGGATTACCAAGATACCAATCGTATCTTTGTGGTACTTGGATAATACCCCTTCAAGCTCACGCACAACATCAATCTCTAAAACAGACGTAAACATTGTAGTCGATATTTATAAAAAAGTCTCTTTCTTCATTTATACATACTAATTTTCCCTTTCCAATTCTTGCATTGGATTATAAATGGAATTCTAAGAAAGTTCCCTTCTAGATCCACCCCACCGTCTCCCGGTTTGTGTCTAAATTGTGAAATAAACAATGAGTATTTGCATCATCATCGTCAAGAACTAAAGAAGAACGTTCGCAGTTGTTTAGCTGCGGCCACGATGTGCTTTCGATTCAATAGTTCAATGTATCTTATTCACCACGAGCCCCCGGCGCAAGGCCTTATTATTCACTTAAGAAGTTCAGGGATTTTATACCCAAGGCGTCGCTTATACAGTAGCTTTTCGGACACGGGAATGAACGTTCATAGCAGGCCGTCCACCTTACGTCAGGTCTGGTTACCCAACTGGTAACTTTCGCAAGCTATGGCCACGATGAGCTTTCATCTCCCGAATTTACACCTAGTGGCAGCGTAACTTCAGATACATAACAACTCAACAAATAACCCAGTGAAAAACTCACTTTCTTTCATAGCATTCGATTCTATAATCTTCCAAAATTCTGTTAACTTTTTGCTCGAATTGTTTTCCTTTAGCGACTGAAGACACATTTGTCATATTGAACATATAGGACATAAATATTTGACAATTTTTTTTTTTTCCTATCACATGTCGTACAACAATCAATTGCATAATTGCATGTCGATCGAACATCTATGATAGAATTAAATAGTCATGCTTTTTTCATGATCTACTATCGATTGGAAAGTTCCATCAGAAGGCTCACATTATTTTAAAAAGTAACTATAGCTCAAAGGACGGGTACTGCTTTCTAGTAAATTGGAAAAATAAGATTTGGAGTAAATCATTTACGTTTTCCAGTTCTAATTATACAATTTATGGAATTGGTTAGATATATTTTTCATATTGGAATTTCTGATCAACGGTTCATCACTATAAATAACTTGTAGATTTGCATATCTACTAAGCCCTTTATAAGTCTTTTTCTTAAAAAAGAGGTAAATATAATATATTACATTAATTCTTACAATAAAAAAAAAATTACTTAACCTTGCAAATTATAACAATCTATTAAAATTAAGTTATTAAGAATATTGAATTTTTCATATAAATAAATTATATTATAAAAAACAATTAATCATTTAAATTTAATAACAAATTATTTAATTCAATTATTTTTTCTATTAATTTAATTTAATAAAAGAAAATAAGTTGCATTTTATTTCTAATAATATCTTTTAAATAATAAGAATTTTATATATTTTCAATAAATTATAATGCAAACATAGTTTATACAATTATAAATTAAAATAAGTATAATATTATATTATATATTTTATAAATTTAAAGATTTAAAATTTACAATAACCACAATAGTTATAAGTAAAGTTTAAAATATAAAAATATATATAGTTAGTATATTAAAAAAAAAGAATATATAATAATACCAATTTGTGATTGCTAAAAAACTCTTATAATTATTGCAATTAAGAGTTTATTAATAACAAATGAATAAATTTATAATATTCCTATATAAAATTAAATTTAAAAAAAATGTTCATATTATAAAAAAAATATTTATGAAAAGTTCATTATTACTAACACTTATTTTTACTTTCTAATTTTCTTAACCCATTTACTTTTTTATTAAAGTAAGAATTATCAATCAATAACTTATGTTTAATTAATTATATATTTATTTCATAAAAATTATTATAATATTAATTGATTTAATGATATTTATTGACAATTACAGAATAAATAAAGAAATATTATTTACTAATACTATTTTTAGAAAGAAATTTTTACAAATTGATATTAATAAAACATATTTATGATATAATAAAAAAATATTATTATATTTAAATTAATCTAAAATTTTAAGTAAATACATAGTTTAATGTATATTAAAGATTATATAAAATAATTCTGCTTTTTTTTAATTTATTATTAGAAAGTAATTTATATTTTTTAGTTTAATATCTTAAAATCAATACTTTTATCTTATATTGATAATAAAATAAGTTAAAATATAGGATTATAAATCTAACATTTTATACTTTACTCTTAATAATCAAATAGACTATGAATAACAATACAAATTTGACTTTATAGTCAACTTTAATGGGATACTACCATATAATATAAATTATATTACATAGTGATATCCTACTTATTCTAGATTATATTACTACTATATAATCTAGATACCACTATATGATCTAAATACCACCATATAATCTGAATATCACCATATAATCTAAATACCATTATATAATCTGAGTACCACCATATGATCTAAATAATATAATCTAATTATCACCATATAATCTAAATAATATAATC